ATAGCCAATGCCGCAATGACCTATGCACTCAACAAAGTGTCCCTGCCATCTCACCGAAGCGATGCAAGTCCCCACCATTGTCAAAATGCATCCCACGACTGGTTGCTCCACCTAAACAAGCAATCCTGTAAGCAGCGAGCCGCCGCTCCTTCGCCTTGGTCACGTAGATGCGGATCTTACGCATCCAGGTGGTTAGAAATAGGCTCACATCCGGTGGCCACAGCTGCTGCACAGCATTTGGTGGTCCTCCGTGCTGCCAATCAAATCCTTTGGGGGCTAAGGCAGTTCGGCAATTTGAGGCCACTTTGGCCTGGACTTGAAGAGTGACGTTTGGGCGGAATCTGGAGAACGGACACCCGCCGGTGCCCAGAGCCGGGAACCCTCTCAGCCACGGCCGAGCGCCTGGCCGTGCGGGAAAGGGCGCCCTAAACTGCACAAGGAGATGGCCGTCACAAATCCCTTTGCGACATGCGGGGGATGCCATGCGGCGGATCGCTGTGCTTCCATACGAGGCGCCGGGCAGCAAAATTGGGGGGCCCAGGGCTGCCAAAAACGCTGAGAGAGGCGCCCCGTTGCCGTGGATATCCAGACAATCGATCGTCTGAGCGACTGAGAGGGCTGCTCTGGAACGGACCTGGGCAGGTTGACAGCGAGATCCGGAAGGGGGCAGAGCGCGATTTCCAAGTGCAGTAAACAGTCCCCCGCACGCAAGTCTCGAGGGCTGCCGGGGAGGGGGCAAGGAGCCCTGTAGGGGTGGACCAAGGCTTTGGGGAGGGTGACTACGCTGTCCATCACCCACTTCCTCCTAAATATTTTACACTACACTCCTGCCCTACTCAAGAAACGCAATGCTTGGCACTGTGATGGCATTTGCAATCAAAGCAAATTCACTATCCATCCACTCCCTGGCCAATTGAGAATTGGATTAAGAATTCAAGGAAAATTGTATCTGCAGTGAGGGTGGCACTTGTAATCAAAGGAAATTCGCTGTCCATCAATTCCCTGGCCAATTGAGAATTCGATTTAGAATCCAAGGCAAATTGTATATGCAATTAGGGTGAGCCCCTCACCTGACCACTCCAACCAAAGCCATAAGAAGTGGGTAGTAGAACGTGCGTGACAGATGCACAGGTTTGGAACGCCAACTGCAGAAGGCTGGATCACCTGCCGCACTACTAGGGACTTTGAATACAGTTCCCAGTCCGCAGGAGAGTCATCAAGGCCACGATCACAACGCGCTACATCCAGGTTGCGGTGGGCATGTTGTTTTAGGTATTTGCCAAAGGGGATGTATTCCCTTCTATCTGCGAAACAGCAAGGAGCTTGAGGAGCAGGTAGGATCCGGGTGCCATCAGAAGGTACTGTCACTTCTTCAAGCAGCCTAAAGCAACCTCAAAGCCTGGCAAGGGAGCCATGGAGCAAGACAGCGTGTGCTTGGGGACTCCCCTATCAGGTACCTTCGAAGGTACCTGATTTCGTAAGATTGTGGGCACCATGCTGAAAATTTTGAGCCTGTTAGTTATATCAGCAGTCTGAAAATGAAGTAGGGATACACTACAACACCATTTCAATGCAAGCGCGAAGAGCCGATATGAATTGGTGTGCATGTTGCCTGACAACCACTAGAGCAGCCTTGGAGAGAGCAGAAAAGAAATATACAGACAAAGGAAGAATCGAAGTGGTCCTGCATGCCTTGCGTACTCTCAGAATATCGACACCGATGTCCTCAGCAGGTCAGTCCTTACCTTTCTTGAAGAAAGGGCGCACAATACGTCTTTCACAAAGTTGCACAGCCAGGACATAACAAGATCCAAAGGCCAGGTAATAGTGCTGCTTCTTGTACATAGCCTCAACCTGTGGACCGCTGCCAACAAAGATATTTTCAGTCTGAATGGTGTAGATCGGGAGGGGATTCCTCATCGGGCCCAAACATATAGCTCTGTCGGCAGACACCCTCGCTGGGGTCATGGGTCGTCAAAGAACTTGTTGGAGTTTCCTGGGCTCCAAGAATCCTCCTTGTAGTATTCAGAATTGCTTCTCCTGAAACCATCCCAGAGGGAATACCCACCAGAGTTTGGCAGAGAGCGGACCACATCAACCAGGTTCCTGCCAGATCCCATCAGCCACCCCTTACTCACAAGCCTGAGCCACGGCAGCCAAGCCGCGACCAGCACCACCAGCGCTGACATGGCTCCCTTCCGGTCCCCAGCACAGCACTGGATCAGGACGTAGAGGAACAACACATAGGATGAAAACCGGCGCACACCTAACGCCACCCTCGCCTCCCCCACGAAGGTTTTCGATTTTCTTCCACTGGCTGTCAACACGATCAATCGCACCGTACACCATCCTCGGCGGGAACGCAGAGATGTAGGGAAACGCCACATACCAACCGTTGTCGGCGAGGTTCGCCCCGCCGACGGCTGTCATGCCCCGCGGCCACGATGGAGCCGGGTCCACAGCGGCTGACCGCGACTGGGAAGCTGAGTACCGGAAGTTGTGCGCTGAACTGTGGTTGCTGTGGGTGGTGTAGAGTGTGTGTGCGTGGGCGTGTGGGTGTGTGGCGGGTGGGGTTGCCTGAATCCCGGGAAGCCACGGCAGGTGAAGGGTGTGGGGGTGAGTGCGCGCGGGCCTGGTGGGATCCAGTGGCGGGGAGGGGGTCGAGAGAGGCCCGTTGACTTGGCTTGATCTGTTAACGATGACTGTCCAAGGATGATCCAGCGAAGAATGGGATTTTCGTTCGGCCGATTGGGTATCGAGACGTGGCACTTGGCCGAAGGGGAAGGGGGGAATATCCCCACCCGGTGTCGAATGCAATTCAGGGGATGCCGCCCGTCCCCCATCGATGGGCCACAGCGTCCAAGCCCAGGGCGATGCCTTTCCAGAAAGTTTGCAGTGTAATGCTCAGTACTTTACCGCACTAGCTTGAACCAGGGGGCGCCCAGGGCGCTTGCTCGGCCAGATCTGTAGCTCTTGGGCTGGGTGGTGGGTGATTGGGGCATTGTCGTACATGTACACATATGTGCATATACGTACATGTACATAAGTGTATACACACATATGCACATACATGCCGATGTTGATATGCAGGCATTTGGACAGGGTTGTAGTTCTTGGGTGGGGTGTGGGGCTACTAAGGCATTGTGAGGCGTGTACATAAACATGCGGGCTACGAGTACACGGACGTAGAGGTACGGATATGAAGGAATTTAGGACTGACACACACCGACGGGCTTGGAGGGACTCAGAAGGGCGGATATGCGGATCGTTTTCTTCCGTGCAAAACATGGGCGTGGGGCCGTGGGGCTTGCGAGTTTTTTTCCCGGACACCCTGCAAGGCCGCCGTCTTCCTGGCGCTCTATCCTTACGTACTGATAGTTGAATATTCAGAATGGAAATTGCGAAATGACAAGATGGCCAGCAAAACTCTGCCGCGCCGTTGTGATGCGATCTCTCGACGGTGGGAAGAATGTTCGTTTGGCATCTCCCAGAAAGCTGCCGTTTTCCTGGGAAGGCCAAAAGTTGCAACAAGGGGCAAAGTATACCGCCCAGCGATTTGCCGATTCGATGGGAGGGTCAGCTGCTGCAACAAGGTCGTGCGTCAAACACCAAGTCTCGACTTCTCCGCGCAACCTACCGAGCCCCAAGCACTCGTTCCTAAATTTAGAACGCCTGGATGCTCCATACTGAGCGCCAACTGTCAAGTCTCTTCCCCACTTTTCCCAGGAAGATGCCACTCCAGCAGATGTCCACAAGACGTGAACTATTGAAGACATACCTTACACGGTGCGATCGGTGACGTCAGTGGTGCAGCAACGTTTGATAACCCACCAAGGCTGGTGCCCCTGCGAGATTCGAAATGCACATCATATGGGACTGTGGGAAATGTGCAGCACATGCCCGCCCCGCGTGATCACAACCGCACCAACGCAACCCGCGTTCCAAATTGCGCAGCCAAGCCTCAACGAGCTTTACCTCTCACCCAAACCCGATGCCCTGATCTGTCACCCGGTCCCTTGATCATGCCCCGGAATTCTCCCAACGCCGAATGGTGCCGTCTTGATCTACCACCCAGCATCAGGGCCTTTTCACATGCGAAGAGTCACACTAATCTAAACATGGCGTGTAGATGCGAAAACTGGTCCCAAGGCTGATCCCATTCATGGATCCTAAAAATTCCCCCCCACACGCCATCCTTGGTTTCTTGACCCATCACCCAATATCGCCGTCTCGCCCCATCCCAAAACTTGCTTGTTCAATAAATTCACAAATGTGCAGAATGTACTAAACTATTTCAGATGTGCAAATCCGCAATGGCCCAAACTGCAGATCAATGTGTCCAATCAGCCAGGCCATCCACAACTAGTCGTCCACTTCCCTAAATAGGTTTGTCAGAGCTTGCGATCCCTAATCTAGGTCGGTGCTATCCAGCGACCCTGCGCTTTCCATTCCAATATTCAGCTGCAGTTGCACGACCTCGAGCCGTTCGTTGCCTGCTTGCAGTTTCCCAATGTACGTTTTTCTCATTTTCGTCAATTTTCTCATTTTGCTTTTAATTTCCCAATTTCCCATGTCTGGACCATGCGCTCCTTCGCTCAAAATTCCAACTCGTGTTCCATCGTTATGGCCACAAAGCCTTTGGGCGCCTACTTTTTGTGCCCCTTTTTTGCCTGTCTTAAAATGAACAAAATCAAACCTTCCCAGTTGCCATCTGCATCTAATATGGAAAACCCATCCCTAGAGCAGGACAGATGCTTGAAGTATCGTACATGCGATGGCAAAAATGGAAAAAATCTTGTATATCTTGTATAATCTTGTAAATCTTGTTTTGTGAGTCTTCCCTTTTCCGGCTCTCTCGACGACCTACACCACCCGAACTTAACACAAACCCCAATTTCCTTCAGAGAAACAGTGCCGCAGCCCTCAGTACTTTACAGTGCTGACCTCACTTCTCTTTTTCCATTAATGTTTTTCATTAAATATTTCATTAATATTTCCATTTAAAGCTCGCAGTTGCCCTTCAAATCGACAACAGTCACGGTTATGTTGTCCCTGGACCCTCGATCAGTCGCGGCCTTGATGAGCACCTTGGCCGCGATTTCCGCCCCCAGTTGCCTGGGGCCGCCGTGGGTCAGTTTGACTTGTTCAGCGCCGGCCAATGCGCGGTCAAAGCACCGGTGGGTCAGTTCGACTGCCTCGGCGTCCGAGATGGTGTCCCACAGGCCGTCGGTGGCCAGGATGAGGAAGTCGTCGTCGGGGCTTGTTTCGATGAGAGCGACCTGCGCAAGAAACGTGATGGCATTGGGGTTGCGTAACGGCAGCGGGTGTCACGGTGTGTTTAGTCAACTGTGTGTCTAGCCAATTGTGTGCTTAGCTAATTGTGGAGCAGCAGCATTTATCATGAATTCACATTCAAATTATCTTTGATGATCTTTTCTCCCACACTGGACCTGGATCCGAATCGCTGAGGCGGCTGCCAACGATAGCACGAATTAGCAGTCAAAATTACATTTCGGTGCACCAAAATCGTTCATTCTAAAGCTTTCTATAGTATCCCCACCTCTGGTTCGGAGATGACGCCGAAGTTGCTGAGGCAGTGGTCTCCAAAGGCGCGCGACATGGCCAGGACGCCCATCACTCTGCTGCCGCCACATTTCAGGACCTCGCCTCCACAGGATACTATTCTCTCCTGGAAAAAAACACACGCGACCAAACATAAATAAATTGTCCAAATACGTCAACCAGCACAATCAACGATTTCGTGTCAATGTTTCAACAACGAGCTCATGCCGAATAAGGGCAAGAACATATTTCTTGGTTCAATTTCAGTCGAAAAGTTACGAGTCAGGAGTGATTGAACCTGTTAATGACAAGAAGATGACTGGAGAGTTCGACTAGCCAAAGATATCAAAAGCGATATTATCAATAACTGTTGACCAAATATCCGGTTGGTTATTGGATGAGTACTTTGAGAAAAAGCATTTCCCACCTCCTCAAATCTGGCAATGAATCCACAGCATATCAAGATATTTCACATTATTTCAAGGAAGCAAACACTTCCTGCTTCCTCAAATTTCATATCGAAGCAAACATACCAAGATATATCCGACATATTTCAGTATTTAATTTGACACAAAACTTGAGGAATATTGTAATGGATTGTGATAGTTTGTGCGAATCGCACAGTTTTGGTGGAGAGCTGATTTCCCGCCTCCTCATTTCCCGAGCACAATTACGACTTGAAAATATTGATTTATCATATTGTTATAAAGTACCACTCCATTTTTGAATTTATTTCTTTTCTCATTCTTCCAAATGAACAATTCTTCGATACAAGGACTTGAATAGGTAAATTGGAATATTGAGTATTGCCCACCTCCTCGTCCTCCAAGTACGGTTTGTGGTCCCTCGTAAGCCTGCAGGCCGCCCCACCCCTCGACAGCACCGCCCTCGAGTCTCCCACGTTGGCCACACAAACAACCGACCCGCTGACTAACGCCACCACCGCCGTGGACCCCGCCAGCCTCGCCGCCTCCGTCCCCCGCAGCTGACCGTCCATGAGGCAGAAGGCCAGCTCCACAGCATCGCGCACCTGTGGCAGGTTCAGTCCCCTGTGACGTGACAGGGCGTCCGTCAGGTCGCGGCCCCGAGGCAGGTGCCGGGAGTGGCGCGACGTCTCGGAGTCGCGGCCTCGCCTTGTCGCATCGCCGTCCCGTCTTGTCACATCGGCGCCCCGTCTTGTCGCGTCGGCGCCTCGAGATATTCCGTCAACGGCTTTTGGTTGACTGGCCCATGGGGCGTGCTCGTCGACGGATTGGGTCAGGGACGTCGCCGCGACGATGCCGAAGGCCTTCTTGAGGTGCAGGTGCAGGTTTTTAGCCACCTGAGGGCCAGATCGCATTTTCAGCCAAGCGCTGCCAATGGGTCACATCAGCTTCATTCAAACTCTATTCCTACACTGCGCAGCAGCAAGCAAATACAAAATAATGGGCTTGTGGTTGTTTAATAATAAGACAAATTAAGAAGCAAAATGTACTCATTATTTACTGATTTCATAAATCAAAGCCACTAGGGAACGGTTTAAAAAGTGCAAACCCCCACCTGCCGCGCCACCTCCGCCCCGCCATGCCCGTCGTAGACCCCCGCGAAGTGGAACCTGGCCTCCACGCGCCTGGGCCCCGAGGCCCAACTATCCGCCAAATTGGGCCTCGGGGTCCGGCTCTCGGCTGCCGCGGGCCCTGGGGTCCAGTCCTCTCCCGGGGGAGCGTCGCTCCCCTCCGACGCGAATCCAGTCAGCGTTGACCGCGGCGACCGGTCAACGCCCTCGGCACAAGAGAGGGCGTCTTCCACAACTTTTGGAATGAGCCGGTCGCCAGGCCTTAGGGCCAGCGGCAGGCGCAGCAAGTCCTTAACTACTGCACCGTAGTCCTCCATGGTCGCCCGAAGCCCCTGGGTGCATCTGCTAGCGATCGGCGGCGTCGACGCTCGCGTTGACTGCGCTGACCGGGTCAAACGGGGATCGGCCTCAAAACCCGTGGGCCCATCCGACTGAATCTTCGAAGAACATTTAGACCATTCGATGGGCACCGGCGGCTGCCACGGGCCGGCCTCTGCAGCGGGCCTGGCGAACGCCCCTGCGCTTTGAAATTCGGAGTTTTGAATTTCCGAATGTTGAGATTCGGACCTCTGGGTACGGTACTCGTTGCTGATCGGCGTGTTGACAGGAACTGGGAGGGCGCATGGTCCTTTAGTCAAAGGTGATTGGAAGCTTCCGGAAGAATCCAGAAGCCCATCACTGGCGCCCTGCATGTGCGCGTCCGTTCCTGTGTACGGCAGAGGCAGGAGGGAGTTGCTTTCAGACGAGCTGTTGCTTTATGAGAATGAAACATGAAAATTAAGTACATTTGGATATGTAAATGAGATACATTTGAAAACAAAATGACAATGAAAATGCAAAATGAAAATTTGCTGGCTGTCATTCTGTGAAACATAACATGCATGCAAATGCATAATTGCATACATAAAATGCAAGAAAAAGAGAAACACAGATTGAAATGTGCAACATTGCACGTAAAAGATGATGACGTGAAATGTCGACACTGCCTCCGTCTCAGATTCAGCAACGGTCGTGAAGTGTGGGGAACATGGAAACGGCCAGACGTCCCTGCTCTCTCCCAAGTTTGAGGTTTTCGAGAAAAGCAACATCTAAGCATCCAAATGCGCCATCCCAGCTTGGGATAGTCCGGCCTTAGAGAGACGTTTGTGTATTATGCAGTACGTACCATGTAGCATATGTGTCGCTGCGATCAAAGCGCATCAGACAAGACCGATCCCTTCTTTGGCAAAAAGCAGCATTGTGCGCAATACGCCTACGATCAGCAGTCAATGTACTAGCTTGGTTCGCGCAGTACCTACAGCTCAGTTGGCTGTACGCAGAACTGAGACGATGTACAGTGCCCTCGGGACCAATGCGCAGGTGTCCCAAGTGCCCCCGAATTTGAGGAAAACTATTTCAACTATTATTTAATCGTGTGTCAAAATGGCGTCACGCTGGGCATTGCAAAAACAGTTGAAATGATAACATGCTATCATTCGCGGCCGGCAGCGCACAAACGTCGGTTTCTGCCGGTGAAATGCACACCACGGCGCGCTAAGTTGTTGACCATACCGTTGACCGTTGACGAGCCGCTGACCGTACCACCGCGGGGACAGACCAGGCCAGCCAGGTTGGGCAGGAAGGGGATCGCGGGGACTGGCTTGGTGCCACCCGGCGCGCTCATGTCTTCCATGGCCTGTTGGGAAAAGCCCAGAGGAAATTTAGGAAGAGGGCTCTTCTGAAGGGCTCTGATGAAGACATTGCGATTGTCGATCACCCAGAACAGGTGAAGGCTTTCTCTTGCATCATTCCGCACAGTGGCGAAAGGTGGCAGAGAATCTCGAATGTCGTTGACGGAGAAAGGTGCAAAGAAGGCCAAACAAGGGCTGCTTTGAAGGGCTGTGGTGGAGACATGGTGATTGGCGAGCTCCTGCCACAAGTGAAGACTTTCGACTTCCGACTTCCCTTGCATCATTCCGCACAGTGGAGAAAGATGCAAGAGAATCCCGAATGTCTTCAATTGTGAAAGGTGCAAAGTAAATTTGGAACGGACTCTGGCGAAGACATCCCGATTGGCGGTCTCCTGCCTCAGGCGAAGACACTCGAACATCCCTTGCATCTTGCTGTGCAGTGGAGAAAGATGCAAGGGAACTGCGACTGGCTTCGATGGAGACATGTGCAGAACGGGACTGTCAAGAAAAAGCGCCTTTGGAAAAGGAGTTTCGGTGAATTCCTGTGCAGGAAGATGCAAGAGAGTTTGGCCTGCCTTCGATGGAGCAAGGAGCGAAGGAATTTGGGTTGGGAATTCTGCCGGCTGGCCTGTGGAGAAAGGTGCAAGCGACTGTTACATGCCTACGGCGGGTAAAGGAGTTGAGGAGTTTTGGAAAAGCATTCTGGCTGCAGCCCTGGAGAAAATGCAAGAGAGTTCCCCATGTCTACGATGCAATAGAATTTGGAAGTCTTCGATGGAGAAAGGCACAAAGGAACTTCCAAAGTATTTGGAAATATTTGAAAGAGGAATTCTGGCGACCATCCTGCGGTGAAAGGCGCAAGAGCGTGTCGCATGTTTTCTATGGCGAAGGGCGCAGGGCAATTTCGGGAAAGGATTTCTGGCGACTGCCTTGCGGAGAAAGCTGCACGACAGAAAAAAGCCGCGTAGGGATTCCGGCGACTGGACTGGAGGGATCGGGTGAGTTTCGGAACGGATCTGAAGGCGGCGGTGGCGGGGGGGGCGGGGGAAGGAATTCGGAAGAGGAATTCGAAGCGGTTGGGCGCGGATGGCAGCGGAACAACTCGTAAAGCCGAGCGCGTATTGGGCGACAATTCCACCGGCGTAGGACAGAGCTGTGTTCAGGAGGGTGGTCCCCTGAGCCGCTCGGCAGAGCGCCGCTTTGCGCTGGCACTCCGTTTTGACACGCTGGGATTGCTCCAGAGAGCACCATTCCCAACCGCCTCTTCCGTCCCGAAAGGCTTTCAACCGCTCGACAGAAACGCCGCTCCCAATCGCCGTTCCTTTCCGAAGAAACTTTGACCGCTGGATGAAACGCCGTTCCAGCCCTTATAACGGTCGGGCCGTTCAGCAAAACGCCGTTCCGTCTTGAAAGGTCCGGACTGCTGGAGAGAACGCCCACTTCGGCCGTCGACCCCGCTCCGAAAACGCTGTGACCGTTCAGCAGAACGCCGTTCCGTCGCCGAAAAGCTCTGGGCCACTGCGCGGATCGCCGCTTTCGGCCACCATTTTCATGCGCCGTTCCCACTCCGAAAACGCTGCGGCCGTTGAACAGGACGCCGTTCCGTCCTAAACAGGTTTGGACCGCCGGACAGAGCGCCGTTGTCGGCCGCTGTTTGCGCTCCTATCAAGTTGTGACCGTTAAGCAAAACGCCGTTCCGTCATGAAAAGTTTTGGACTGGTGCCAGAACGCCGCTTTCGGCCGCCGTTTCCGCTTCGTAAACGTTGTGACCGTTCAACAGAACGCCGTTTTGTGCTAAACAATTTTGGGCCATTGCATGGAACGCCGTTTTCGGCTGCCGTTTCCGCTGTGAAAACGCCCTAAACTGAAAGCGGCCCTGCGGCGCTAAGCCGCCCCCTCAAAAACTAGGTCAGGCACGGCGCACGTACCCAACGGCTCAACGTGCGAATTTCGCCGAGCCGCAAATTTTGCCGAGCGCGCGATGGCCCGGAAAGTGGCTCGCCGGCGTGGACGCCTGTCGAGATTGCGAGGACACAATCGCAGATCGAGGTCCGCATCCGAAGACGAGAATTCTGCCATGCTGCGCGGGGGCGACGCCATCCGCCATCCCCTGGGCTGTTGAAATCCCATCCAACCGCCTGCTAAGGCGCGGAAAGCCACAAATCACACCACGGAGAGCCAAAACGCGGTGCCACAATTATCGATCTAAGGCAAGTTGGGTGTGTTGGCGCGGCCACGATTGAAGAGGCACGCCACCGTCAGTGGAGAGGGAAGGAGGGGAGGGGGGGGAGCAGCTGATGCTGTGAGAACCCCCGTGCCCCAGGATCTCGGCCGGCTCACCCTCCTCAGCATCTAGCGATTCGATTCCCGGACGCTGCCGTTGACCAGATCTCCCCGTTCCCGGCGGCGGATGCCCCCGGCAGCCGACCCGCGATTCCCCGCTCCCCGCCGCTCCTCGGCTACGCGTTGACCAGTTGGCCAAAGTCAAAGACCAGCGTTGACCGTCAATGGCAGGCCGACGCGCTTCCCCCGTCACGCTGTGCCATCCGGTTCTTGGAACCGCCCCTTTGGCCGCACTGACTTTGGTCAAATACAGCCGCTGACCGCGTCGACTGAACCGCCGCCGTGGCCGCAAGACTGTACCTCGGCGCGGCGCCGCGGGGATCACGTGAACGCCGCAACGGACGCGGAGACCCGCCACGTGGGTCAGCTGTGCGTTGACCGGGGTGGCTCAAACACGCGGCTCGCCGACCGCCGTGCCGACCCACGGCGTGGGGCCCGCCCTGGTGCCGCCGGCGGGGTTTAGTAACCCGCTTTAGTGTGACTAACCGCCCTGAGCGAAGAGGAGGCGGGGATCTGCTCAGGCAATGCCCACCCCATGACATGCGGAAAACCGTCCCTCCCTTCGCGAAGATTCTTTGCAACCCTTGGTCAAGGCGTGGTACGAGCACACAGTACTGCGAAAGCACTGTGCCCTCCGCCACTTGTTCATCATCACCGGTACAGGGACGGATCAGTCAGTGAGCGCAGGGCGAAGAAGATGTGCGCCTCTCATCAAGAAGTGCGGTGCGCCAATTTTTTCGGCGCCCCGGACTTCATCACAGTACTTCGTCGCCGTACTACATCACCATACTTTACCACGCACCGGCGCCACTCTCACCCTCCCAGGCCAAGGTGCTGCTTTCCAGTACACTACAACAAACCACTCATCGGAGGTTGAGACACCCATACCAGGTGAGGGCATGAAGGGTGGGGGTGGGGTGGGGTGGGGGGGGAGCTGTCCGCAAGACTTCTTGATCAGCTGCATGGCCATATCTGGGGAGGGTTGAGGGGCGGTCACCGGTAGAAAACAACGCTCTGGCGGCGTCGACCCACCAGTGGACGACGACACTCCTGCGATGCCGACTGCGATGCCATTTGACACTAATCGATGCCATCGCAGCAATTCCTACACCATTGACATCACCGTGGCGACGCCACTTGGTGACAAGTGTCATCCCAGCTGGCATCGCAAAGGCGATCTTTTCTGCTGGTGACGCCATTTGACACTCAGTGATGACGTCAGTGGTGACGCCATAACTGCTTTCGTTCTGTCCCAACAACTGTGTAGGCGTCGCTTAGTTTCCGAGCGGCGTCACGGCTGCAAC